CAAAGGACTTCTCTTGATAATTTCATAATCAAATGAAATTTGGTTTGTTTTGCTCTCTCATGAAATTTCAGTTCCTGTCTTAGTGTGTGTGGTTATTTTTTTATTTTTAGCTCTTTTCTCCTCTAGTGCCTTCTGGGTAGTGGGGAAATGGCAGGTTGGAAACGCAACAGAGAAATCACAGATCACTCCAGGGACATTATCTATTCTGCTAACCATCTAACAGAGTGCAGGGAATATAATATGACAATAAAGCATTTATCTTCTCCTTACTGAAAGGTTTGTGGTATCAAAACAAAGTTGACTGTTACTCAATGGACTTGCATTACTTATCTATTCTGCTTCTGATGGTTACAGCTGCTATTTTTTCTGTTCTCAGACAGCAGGATTTCAGCAGATTCTGACTGAAATTGAAATCCTTGCTTTGATTGTGGGATGCTTGTGTCACGACCTTGACCACAGGGGAACCAACAATGCCTTCCAAGCCAAGTAAGTTTTATAATTCTTATTACTTTAATTTGTTTTTCTTCCACAGAAGAGCAAAAGGTGACCAGGATAAAGAATGACTTGTTAATTCCAGGCCTCCAAGGCCAAGGTTCTTATTTTTGTGTGTAGTGAGGGACTATCTGTCCTTTTTTGAGTTTTGAGTTTTGAGTTTTCGAATTGGCTACCCAGGGAAGTGATCTGTACTTACTGAATGTGATGCTGGGTTTTGCAGTCAGATTCTTACATGACTTAAATTAAATCTTGCTCTTTGTGTCTTTTTCGATTACAATATGATTTTTATTCTACTCAAGACATGTGGGACTAGATCTCGCAGCCCTGACTTCTACGTTTTTTTTATTCTCCAGAGTGTTTCACTCAGACACATGCAGTGAGATAGAAGCAGGTTAGTAGAAGGTTCAGCACTATTTCTCCTTACTGGGAGGTGAGAGAATTCCCTTGACCAAGGTCAAATTGAGCCCAGAATCTGTGTTTTAAAGGCAGCAAGAGATGCCCCTTGGCAACATCCTGGCTCAGCTCTGAAAGGGAGCTGTCAGTCATGTGTAATTCTTCTCCATAGTGGTGGTGTTTGCTGACTGCCCAGGCCAGCTGGGGAGACCGGGGAGGAGACCTCGCAGCTCTGTTGTCCTGCAGATCCCAGGCTGTGCTTGCAGCTCTGTCTGTTCTGCCCTGTTCTGGGGGCAAGTGGTCAAAAAGTTGTCCGAAGATATTCAAAAGACAGGGAGATGCTGTGTTAGCCTGCTCTGTCCCACAGTTTCAGGTGCAGAAGAGGCCCTGTTTGCTGCAACTTGTGTATGCAGGGACTGCTGCACTCCTGGGGCAGAGGTGCCTCACTGAACAGCTCTCAGACTGATGTCTCAGATGTTCTCCAAGCTGCCATGGCCTGGGTTGTTTGTGTCGCTGTACATTCCCAATGCAGCAACAACACTGTCTGCATCTTCAGTCATCATAGCCAAGAAAATCAATTGCAGTGGCCAAGAGACAGAGCTCCTGGTGCAAAGGTTACCAGGCACTGCTAGATGCCTTTTTGCAGCCAAGTCTGGAAGAGAATCAGAAGAGATGGAGCAAATAGGAAGCTCAGGTGATTGCTTTATGTTCCTGATTTACAAGAATGGCATGTAAGGCTTGCAGCTCCACAGTTTTAGGCCCTTATTAAGTTAACTACTTCTTTACTGTACTGTTACACAGCCGTATCTCTTGGGCAGAGGGAGGGTAGATTAGAAGTAGAGGTTTCAGTATTTGGCCAGTTGTCCTTGTCATTTGACAGTTGAGTACAAAGTATTCAGTGCAGCTCTGTAAAGACTGAAGACACAGGAAAGACAAACATCATCACACATGTCTAAGGTAGCTCTGCAAACAGCAGCTGTAGCTTTTACAACAGCAGCTGTGATTTATTCCTGTAACTTAAAAAGTTAAGCATCATTTTTCCTAACTCATCTTCAAGGTTCGATACTGCTGTTTTGCGTGATGAAAGTCCCAGCGTAAATGAGGGAAGCAACGTCCCAGTTGTCTGAACTGGCGCTGTTACGGTCCTCAGTACTAGATCTTCTAGAGTTGATGTTTCCTGATGTTTCCTTTTTAATACAGTTGCCCTGGATAATTAAATAATCAGCATGTTGTGCTCCGGGGAGACTCTTTCTGTTTGTCTCTACCATAATCTCTGCTACTCATTTCTTTGGAAAGAAAACCCATCTCATTGCTTTAGGTTGGGTCCCAGAAGTGAAGTAGCGGTGGACATTAATTGCCCTGACAATCCAGTCCTGTTCCCTGTACTTACTGGCAGTTCTCAATTTCATAATTGCATTCCATGTTTTTTTTTGTCCTTTAAACTTGGAAAACCCATCTGCTCTATGCCTTTTGAATCCAATTTTGTTTGGGACAACAAATGTATTTAGCAAAATAAATTCTAAGGAGATGTTAAGCTTTCTTTTATGTTCCTGCATATGTATATATATTTCATTTCACTTCTGATTTTTAGTTTACCTTAGTATTTTTCAACTGCTGTGTTTTATGGACTGTAGAGACAGGCACTCAGCTGCATTTAGAACATTTTGTTTGTCTGTTTCAAATCCACTGTTATTGCATCTACTACAAAGCCTTAAAAGAAAAGATCATCCCTGCCTGGGACGTTACAGTTTGTCTTTACTGTAGCCTGCAGCATCTCTGCGGCTGAACCACCGAGGCGTTTTTGAAAGCTGCATTCCACAGTTTCATGTTCCGGAATAACCCTTAGTTTGGCCCCTTGCTGGAAGGGCTGTTTGGAGTGTGAGCTGTCTCTGGCGTGGTCGCGGGCCGCGCGCCTCTGCTCCGTGCCGCGGCGGGGGAGCCCTTGCTGACTGCCCGTGTTGTGTTCCAGGAGCGGCTCAGCCTTGGCTCAGCTCTACGGCACCTCGGCTACCTTGGAGCACCACCACTTCAATCACGCTGTCATGATTCTCCAGAGCGAGGTACAACAGCAGGGCTATTAATCTCGCTGCGAGCTGCCGGGCACTTGCAGCCAGGGAAAGGAAATACCACACACACTACCTTTTTAATGCCCTCTCCTTGAGGAATTATTTATTGGTTACCACAAAGGTCACAACTAGCACAAAATTAAACAACTACGAATGCTGTTCATATAGCCCAGAGGTTGTATCTGTCTCAATCAGCTAGCAGCAAGGAGAACTCACCCTACTAGGTGGCCAGCTTTTACTCCATCGTCTTACAAATATCCTGCTTGGTGCAATGAGAGGTAGAGGAGCTCTTACCTTCCCACAGGTGCGTGTCCAGTCTATCAGAGTCATCCCTTCCTGGGCCAATTTAATGTTTTGACTGTTCTTTTGTAATCAGTATTTTCATAATGGTATTGAATTACTTTGTTAAATGACTTTTTTTATAATTACTCTTCAGTGTTGCTATACTGTCCAGAGTACATGAGCTGCTTTGCAGATTTGTATAAAGATACAGTTCTTGCCTAAAAGATCTTTTGAGTAATGGCATGTGGCATGCACTAGCTGAAAGACCCAGCAGGCAGGGGGAGGAAAGGATGGACCCATGTTCCTTACAAAACCGTGGTCATGATTTGGTAATTACACAGAAAGCTCATTACAACATGTGTTCAGTGTATAGAAAACAAAAGTATTGTTGACATTTACACAGCTGGAGGCTCTCTGCTGCTCTGCAGTAACTTTCAAAGAGCGTTTGGGAGTGTCCTGTGATCACAGGCAAACAGGGACAAGGTGGCTTGGCCTGCGTTTCCGTGTTGCAGGTATCCGGCATGGGATGCTGGCTGTGCCTCTGGTATTCAGTGTCTTGACATTATGTTAAAAATGTGGATATGGAAAAGGAAAGCCCCAACATCTCAAATAACATCTTAAATAAGCAGCTCAATCTGCATAGCTTAGGCTAGCTTAATTAGAAGGTAATAATTGGAATTAAATGGCCCTTTATACTAACAGAGGAAGGCATAACAAAAAACTTAAAATTTGAAAGTTAAGCATAGCCATTCAGAACAGGGAAAAGGGACACAAAAGAGATTTCAACTGCTAGAAGAACCTTTCCTGGGAAGCGGTGAATTCTGTTTCTTGGGATCTTCACCATAGCAGAAGGTCTTTCTGGAGACAGGTTCAAAACAGGCATAAATGGATGAAAGTTGATAGTTATATCAGAACAGATGCCTTTTTTAAAAATCTTTTCCCAGCTTTAAAATCAAGAATTCTTTTTTCCTGCAATATACTCCAGCTTCCTTCCTAGATATAAAATACTACTTCCTTGAAACACAAGGTCTCCTCTTTGATCATCAAGCATCTTCTTCAGGTCCTTATTTCTTGATCAGAAAATTAATCCCAGTGGGATTTTTATCCAGTTTTCGGTAGTGAAACACAACATCCATCAGTTCGGAGTAAGTGTACCCTTTCATTTATGTGACTTTAGTCATATGTGACTAGAATATTAGTTTTGCTCCTTTTAGTTTGTTTTCTGCAGGACTTATTGGAGAAATCTAAGATCTCCGTCCTTTTTTTTTTAGAAGGATCTCTGTCCCTCCCCGCCCCCCTTTATTTTTTTAAAAAAAGAAATTCAGTTACAAAAGCACCTTCCTGCTTCCAAATATCAATCTTAAATAGTTTATTTCCTTTTGTGCTGGCTATGGAGCATCCTCCAAGATATTAATCCATGATTCCTTAGAAACTCATGTACTGGGGCCCCAGTGCATCAGACTGCCGTTTTTCAGGCTGTGCAGCGAGGGTTTGTGTGCCCTGTAAGACAACTTCGTAATAGTCAGGGCGAGCAAAGATACTGGTTTGAATGAAAAACTGATTTAGTGTCTTGGACTGCTCTACAAGCAGTTTGTTTGCCTGCAAGCAGCAGTGCAGATAAATCTATTAGGAGCACAGCTCAGAAGCTGCAATGCACAGCTCCCCACAACATATAATAAGAGGAAAGATTGAGATGTATCCATAGTTTTTCTCCATAAACTGAATCTGCGCAGAGTCAGATCAAAGAGTAAATCTTCTCTCAAGAGGCTATAATTTCAGCAGAGTTTAGAGGAGTATTCAGGGTGCTTGATTACAATGGTCAACTCTTCCACCCCAATGTAATCTCAGTGGTATTAACATTATTATTTTGTCATAGTTTTGCCATGAATCAGAAGAAGCCTCTGCTACAGGGAAGCACTAGACTAAAGAGTTAGAAAACCTTTTAAAAACCTATATTGATTGCCAGCCTTTTACCTCCTTTATCTCTTTCATTACAGGGTCACAACATCTTTGCTAACTTGTCCTCTAAGGACTACAGTGACCTTATGCAGCTTCTAAAGCAGTCGATATTGGCAACAGACCTCACTCTGTATTTTGAGTAAGTATTGGCATTTTTTGTATTTGACAAATGAAAATTCAAAGAATGTTCTCTAATGACCTATTAAATACCAATAAGGATATATAACATGAGAAATTACCGTTCAGCTGTGGTTGAAGAGATTTAGTCTAACGCTTAGTGTATCTTAGGCTAATAGAAATATCTCAAGTGTCCAAATAAGTTTTACTTTAATGCGTAGCATGTGTGTACAAACAAAAGGCAAGAGAAGCCATAGGCTGATACACTTCAGAGCAACCCCAGGAACCTGCACAGCCCTGTAATTCCGCTGTTGTTTCTGTGGTAATTTCTTTGGGCATTTAGAAAATCAAGAGTAATTTGAATAATTTGAATATTTTATAAATCTGACATTATTACGCTGGGCACTGAAATGTGAGATGTGAAAAGCCACAGCTGCCTGTCCTAATAGAACATGTAGTTGGTGATGATTGCTCAGGATTAGGCTGATTTGAAGTTTATGTGCCAGCTACTCTTGGCCACTAAAATTTTCATCGTTGCAGTATTTATATCCACTGGGGCCATTATCCCATGAACTTGTATGAGAGAAATGAATTTTGTTTTCTGCTTGTGTGACTTTGCATTGTGCTGGCAAATTTTGTAATGTGAAACTGTTTTATATCTTGTTTCATAAAATGTAAAGAGATTAGATATTATCACGTAGTCCCTATCTCTTTATTCTAGTTGCCATCCTGAAATCCATTACAAAAGGACCCTAAAGCAGGAGTGATGAGTAGTCATATAATGCACTCAAGGAGCAGAATAATGCAATATGGCCCATTAAAAAATTAGTCTGGGATAGTGAGCAATGTTCCCAAGGTCTCTCACTCCTGTCCGCATGTTCACCACCATCAGACTTCACTTTCACAGTTATATGTCACACATTTGAGCATGAAATGAATGGAAAATGGGGTACATTTGATATGTTGATATTCTGTGTTGATATTTGTATGTTGAGAGTTTTGTATTTTCTACATCCAATGTTATCAACTCCCTCATGTTAGAAATCTGACTAGAAGAAATTTCTTCTAACATAAAGAAATTTCTTCTTGATGAGGGGATAGCATCTTGATGAGGCCCTTATGAGATGGGGCTCCTGACTGTCATTCAGAAAGTAGTTATTCTGTTTCCAGGTGTGTGTGTCCCCTGAGCATGTCACTTCACTATTTTCCCTATTTATTCTCCTCTTGCTAGGGCAGGCTCTGTTCCACGCTGTGTGCAGTAAGAGCCCTTGGATTCTCAGTGTGCATGGCCATAAAAGATACAGACCATGATAAGTCAGAATTTTGATACCTAACGGCTCCCCAAAAGTGTTAGCACACCCTGACTCATATTTTATCAGGCTTTGAGGAACTAGAAAAGATCTTCCAGAAGACAAACCATGGGACCAAGCAGGGTGACCTAGTTTCTAGTTTATAAAAGCTACTAACTCACTGTGAATCCCGCAGCTTCAGAGTCTCAGTTCTCTTCCCTGTGTTGAAAATAACAGTACTAAGACATTTCTGAAAAACAATTCAGTATCCAGAGTTTAAAAAAGGGCTGGGGGGAGAAAAAAAGATATTTTGCAAGGATAGGCAAAGACAAATGTGCAGGTTTTAGGGTTATTGCTACTGTCTGTCTGCCCACTGCTCTAGTCAAATATTTCATGCTTCCATGGAAGACTGAACATCTTGGAATCCTTTATATCCCTATCAGGGAAAACCATAAATACAATCTCTCTTTTACCAGGCAGCTCTGACATTGATGACAGGCACTGATAGAACATGGTTGGAAATTAGTATGTTTTGCTTGAACGGGCTGTCGGTGCAACATCTCCAGCGATAACGCATGGGGCGTCAGGGCTTTACATTGCCAAGAGGACAGTGTTCCTGCTGCTGCGCTGCCCGGGAAGGCTCTGCTCCCTCCTCTGATGCTCTGCTTTGTTGCAGGAGAAGAAGCGAGTTTTTTGAACTTGTCAGCAAAGGTGGTTATGACTGGAATATTAAAGACCATCGAGAAATGTTTCGGTGACTACCATTATTTCCGGCTTCCTGGTTGTTTCAAGGTGTAGCTGTATTTGTTTAAAGAATTTTGCTTGCAAGGGAGAGAAGACTGCAGTTATAAGGAAAGGGGCTTGTTTTAAAATAAACAGGTGATTTCTAAAGACTGTGAAACCAGAAACAAGCACGAAAGGAATCAGTATGAGCTCACCTTTTCCATTCCTGTTTCTGCCTTCACAGTCCATGACCTGTTTTCATCCCTTTCTCCTACCTTCATCAGTTAGCTCCCAGCCCTTCCCAGCTTTCTGTAGAAAGCACCCCTATTCTGCTTCAGGAATTGAGGACCCTTCTTGCTCCTTTCTTTTTCCTTCCTCATCTCAACTGTTTACGTCCATGGGCCAAGTTTCTCTCTTTCCTGGCCTGCATGTGAGGATTTGCAGATGTGCTGTCCTCTTTTGGCCCTCAGAAATGATGTGGGCCTGCCTGCCCTAGGAACCCTGTTGCAGGGTGGTACACCCTGCCTAAATGAAGTCTTTTGCATATGCATGTTTGACTGTCTCAATTTATCTGAAATTTCATTAAAATCGTGTTTTCCTTTTGGTCTTTTGATTGAAATATTGTTCATTTTCTATTTTCCATATCATTTCACCCATCCCTAATTTTAGATTTGGGCAATATATTTGATACTTCATTTTCATTGCCCTTGTTCCTCATTTAAACTTTCTCAGACTTTTATCTGCATCATGTACTGTACATAAACGCTTTCTACAGCTGAATGGTTTCTTTCTTCCAATGCATATAAAACATGGTTGTAGCCAGGTATTAAACTACAGTGGAACAGTCTAGCTCATATAGTAAATCTTAATTTTTTATTGCAGATGAGCAGTAGAAACTGCTTAAGCAGTGTCTAGGATGCCTCTTATGATTACAGGTTCTCTTGCTACAGCAGTCCCTTGCAAATAGGCAAATAAATTAATCCTGTTTTCAGGTGTTGTTATTATGTAATAATACCCTTCCTTATATCACGTGAGGCACATGCTTTCGGCTATATTATCTAAATTAATATGAACAGCATTAGGAAGACTGCAAAATTAGCAATACCATTTCTTTTCTGGTATGCGCAGTGCCAAAACTTCATCTCCTGATGACCTGCAGTGCATGCGGCTGCCTAGGCACAATTGTGATGTAAAAGCAACACTGGGGGCTGAGATTTCAAACATGACATTCTTTTCTGGAGGAAAAGGAGGTGCCCGGGCTGACCCTTTATATATGTATTGCTTATTTATGCATCCAGAACAGAATTGTTTAGAAATCCAACAAAGGTTGATTCAGCTTGTATTGTTCATTTCTGTTTTTCAGATCAATGCTAATGACAGCCTGTGACCTTGGAGCTGTGACCAAACCGTGGGAGATTTCAAGACAGGCAAGTCATGATTAATAGCAGGGCTGGGAAGAGGCGGGACTCATGGGACAATATTCCCAGGGCCCTGTCTTACAGGGACCAAACCTGGTATCAAGTTACAGCAGTGTTAATGCTGTTAAAAAAAAAAAAAAAAAACAGCAGGGGGTTTCTGCAAGGAATGGTTTATTGCATAATCTGTTTGCAGTGCTGGACAGCAGTTTGGAGGCACCTGAACAGATCTGGTTTGATAACCTCTCCTTCTCTTACAAACCTTTTAAAAAATGGACAGATTAAACAAACAAACAAAAAGTATTAGCTGCATGTAGTTTTGCTTGCTGGGTTTGTCCCAAAGCTTCTCCTTCTGGTGTAGATGGCAGTGACAATATCTTCCCTAAAGCAAAAGCACCAGCAGATGATCTGCAGACTTCAATTAACATCAAATCTTCAGTGATGGTGATGGGAACGCTGCAAGTGCAGTATACAGCCTTACTCAGCATCCTGTACTTAAAAGTAAACAAAAACTCGGGCTTTTGCTGCTGCTACACAATACTCAGGTCCAGCATTTTCTACAGCAAGAGACTAAAATGTGAGAAAGGGACCTGCTGGTTTGCTGCTCCGAGGCTCATCCCAAGAGCCTTGTGCATTGCCACATGGTTTCCCCTCTTCCAGGAATCCTTCCTTACTCTACAGCCATCATTAATATTTTCCTCTTTCCCAAGCTAATAATACTCTGTCCTGTCCTTAGGTCCAGAACAAGTAGGCAGGCTATGTTGGGAAAGTGGGGGTTTGCAGGAATATGCAGCCTCAACCAGCAAAGAGAAAATACAGCAATGCAGTTCAGTGTAGGTAAGGAGCTGGCACAGTTTGACTAGCTTTTTAACAAAAGATTGTTTAAAAATTGGTGTGGAGAAGTTAGGCAAGTGAGAGGAGAGTAGCCGGATATTTTGGAGATAGACAGATGGAAGCAGCTGGAAAGGACTCGTGTGCTTTCGCAGCAGTGCACGCGCATTACTCAGGCAAAAAGCATTCATGTGGTAAGGGCTTCAGTTCAGCCTGCAGTTTTATCAAATGAATATAGTTTGGTTTTGTAAGCAGAGTATGACAATAGTCCTTGTAAGGCTGTTATTTTGCTCAGTCCAAATGTGATTACCCCCTCAGAAGTGAGGGAGGATGCTCTTACCCCGCAGTGGAAAAGGCACATGGGGCTCCTCAGCAGCACCAAACCACAGCTGTGGTACATGCATCTCCTCCTCCTTTTTCCTCTCTAACCCAGCTGGTTTCTCCATTTTCTTTGACAGACAGAATGTCAGGTAGGAGCTGCTTTCCATGTTGTGAATCTTTGTGCTATGGTGCTGAATCAGTGCTGATGCCTCTGACAAACTGGTTTTTTACTCTTACCACTTTTGAGGTCTGCTGCAAATTGCTCTGCAGCCTCTCTACAAATTTGCTTCATGTTGAGAAGTCCAGTCAGGGAGTGGCTGGAGCATTATCTGGTTGAGCAGAGAGGCCAGAAAGTTCACAGAGAAAATTCAGGGGAAATATTTGGACCTCAACTGTGCATAAAGGAAAAGAACATGGGAAGTGAGGGAGAAAAAGATCTAAATATGTGAATCAAAGGGAATAGAGATCAATGTGCAAAGGCAAACTTTAAGAAGTCAGGATAGAAACAGACAAAAGCTGAGGGAAAAGGACATAAGGAGAACATGACGAGACACAAAGGTGAGAATGCATCTTGATTATTTCTGTGCAATATTCTCGGCAAACCCTTAATTGCTGCTTGACAACAAAAGTTAATTATTCTTCCATCTGGAGTACTGATCCATATTTTTTTAGTGTGCTGGCACTTCATACATTATCAAAGCTCCAAACTATGGTAGCTTGATTGAAGATTTTAGAGTATTTTATAATATCACTTCACCTACATATAATTTATTTTGAGACTCGCTATTTCAATTGCAACAAGCGCAGGTTGCTCGACCAAAAAATTTCAAGATTTTTTGAGAACCCTGTTGTGCCGTTCAGGTTTGTGAATGCTAACTACCACACAATTGCTCGACCAAAAAATTTCGAGATTTTTTGAGAACCCTGTTGTGCCGTGGCATTATGAAACCATTTTCCATCACTGCACTTGAAAACAATAAGCAGGCATGGGAAGAAATTTGCTGGATGTCACCCTCAGTAGATAGATAAGTTTCCTCGCACATGTACCTACCTTCTAAACTCCCAACTCTGAGAGAAAGTAAAGTTTCCTTAGGCTGCTGTATCGGGGTTGCTCGCTGTGTGACTGCTTGAAACTCCTTTTGTTCTCACAGCTAACTTGTTTTTAAATCTCATATTCATCCAAGAAGCACAGAGCTCTTAACATCTTCATTCACAAGAGTCAGGAAGACACATTCCACCTTCTGTCCCAGCAGTTCTTGTCTTTAATCCAATACAAAATCACAATCTGAGTTCACATTTGGATGTTCAGGCCCTATAGTGATGACAATTACAGAAAAAAAAAACGAAGCCTGGTGGAAAATATCATTCTATGATCTTGTGTTAAATGTAGGCTACACAGATTACTTGTTAATTAATTTTCTTTGACAAGAGAAGTTGTTTCAATAAGGTAACAGCCTGTAAATACACCGGGAGCTCTTGCACGCCTTAAAAAGCAGTTATACAGAGATAATTATAGATGCCAACAAGAAACTATAATTCTCCATTCTTTTCTCAATACTTGAATGCATGGAACTTCAAAGAGCGTTGTCTCCACATTGCAATGCAATTCCCCCAGCTCCTCATCAACAGATGATAAAAATGGTAGGTGCCTATGGCTATCTGTACCCACTGGGGCTCAGTTCTGAAAGATACACAAGTATCAGTAATTAAGTGGGGCTATAAAGTTCTTTACGGTTAAGCATAGGCTAAAGTCATAGACTGAGTAACAATTCATGATCCTAAAATTATGTAAAAAGAACTCTTATCTTTATCATGATTTATGTTTTAGGCAGCTGAACTGGTAACCAGTGAGTTCTTTGAACAAGGAGACAGAGAAAGATCTGAACTCAAGCTCACACCTTCGGTAAGTTTTTATCACTCTGAAATAGCTCCCTACTTGGATAGCATAAGAAAATATCATTGCATTCATTCAGGAAAACAAATTGTATTTTGTATGGAGAGAAATGCCTTGGAATAAGTAAAGGCTCAGTCCAACAAGGAGGCGCATTAGAAGTATTACATCTAATACAGAGTATTCGAACCAAATTATGAGATAGTTAATGAAATCAAAATTTTCAGGTTTACTTTATGCTGCAGCCACTTGCTATTTGTATTATTTGATGTATCAAATGCTGAAAAGGCATTTCTGTAATATGTAACTACACAGAACACTGCGGATGGAAAGTGGAAGATAGGCAGCTAAGTATAAATTACCAAACAAAAACAAAGAGGAAGAAAAGTTTCATAAAGGTTTTCTGTGAGTGATTTGAAGAGAAAGCCTTACCCAGGTTACATACCTCAGAAGGTTGACAAACCATTATAGAGATGAAACAGGAGAAGGGAAACAAAGTTTTCTAAAGAATTCTACTTACGCTTTATGCTTCTAAAAACAGACAGTTCTGTTGGTTCAGACTTGTTCTCACTTTGCACATGATATTTGCACATGAGCACACTCCCCGTAGAGATATAATCAAGTTAAAAAAAATAGCTATTCAGTTTGAAGTAAACAAAACTCAGCTACAAAATATGGCTTTCTGCTTGTACACTGTCACAGCTTGGGAAATTAGCGGATGTCTCTATAGTTGTTCTGTGGGTGCATCTTCCCCATAAAAGAGTAGCTAAAATCCAGTAGCACAGTCATCAGTTGGTCACAGCACGGCACGCTAGCACAGTTCTAGTCCTGAGGAACGGCAGGTTCCATTCCCTATAATGTGTCCCTTTCCTACCACGTGTATAGAAGTTACAAAGTGTTTCTCACACTAATAAAGCATATAAGTAATTTTTTTCAACACATACATTAATGCCCAGGTCTAGCAACCTTAATAGCATGTTTCAGAATATTTTTATATACTGCATTTTAGTCATACTGTGAACTTGGTAGAAGTGCAGAGAAAGACCAAAGCCAGAGTTTTCTTTGGATTCCTCATATATTTTCACAATCAGCACCCAACAGCCTAGATGGCTGGGGAAGGAGGAGATAGTGGTAGGGTGGCTTCAGCCTTTCTTCCCTCCTAGCAGCCTTCTCACTCTTCCTTTGGGCTCTTCAGTTTATACCAAGGAATTCAGAGCCCACACTTGGCATGCTTTGAAGCAAATACAAACTGAAGGAAGGTTTTCCTCTCTGTTTAGTCCTTCAGTTCCCAAGAATCCAGTTAAGTGATGTGTGAAGGATTCTGTGTTGGAGATTAGACCATCAATAATGAAGTTCATCAGTTCTAACATCTGATGTCTAAGGATCAAAATTATGGGCAGAATTTTACCATATTAATAAGGAAGATTTTTTAAACAAGATCAGTTGCTGATGAACTTTGTGACATGTCTCTACAGCAAGCCACCAAAGGAGACATTGCTGCTAGTTGGATAAGATAGAGTTGTCAGTAAGAAAACTTCATATTTTGTCTGGTAACTTGAGGAGTTTTTCTTGCATTGTGCTGAAAAAACTGAAAAAGTACAAGAATTTTCAAAATGATTTAAAGAGTAAACACAGAATCCCACCCCAGATTCTATTTTTAAGATCTTTAGTCTTTGAATTTTATCCCCTGCCTTATTTATTACACTGGTATACCTATACAGCAAGGTTCAACTGTATGAATTCAGCCAGACATTCAGCACAATTATATTGAGTTTTTGGAAGAAAAAGGTTCCAGAAAAGTAAGTTATCAAACCTAGAGGAGATAGGCCCAGAATAAGAAAAAGACAGAAAGGTTTAACATATTTACCAGCATTATTTATCAGTATAATGAGACACCAGGTGAGCCAGTAGAGAAGGAGAAAGATCCTGTAGCAGTTATCGAAGGTCACGGAGGAAGCTCACCTTTGTAACTTCTATTTTCCATCTCCTTTCATGGGGCAGTGCAGCCAGTTAAGAGCCTCTCAATCATCAGCTTTGGCCTCTGCAGTTCTCTCCTTGGGGCGCGCAGCAGGCAGGGAGCTGCTCGCAGGGGAACACGCTGGGAGCTGCTCCCCAGGGTGCTCTGTGGCCTCCCCACCCGTGGGCTTGGCTGGTTCTATTAAAAGGGTCTGCAAGAGGGAGGGGGCCGGCCCACATCCTCACAGCTCATTTTGCTGATCTGGAAAGCCCTGTGCAAGGAAAACTGGAAATTTCTAATTTAAAGGTATCTACTTTACATTTCTGGAGCTCTTCACCAGCTGAAATTCAGCTGCAGAGCATTTGTTTTACATTACAGAATTGTAAAATTTAAATACATTCAGCCTACAAATTTCAAAACAGGAATGAAAATAAAGTTTATTTTTCATGCCAGACAGCAGTAAGGCGGCTGCTGCAAAGATTGATTATGGTTTACAAAGTGTTCTGTTTATGAGAATTTGATCATAGCTCCAGAGTGCTGAATGATGTGTCTGTAAAATACTCTGGTGTAATAAAGCATGACAGTTTTGTTCCCTTCTCAATTCAGGCCATTTTTGATCGGAACAGGAAAGATGAACTACCCCGGCTGCAGCTGGAATGGATTGATAGCATCTGCATGCCTTTGTATGAGGTAATTTTTACTTACTGCTCATGTAGAGTCAGGAGAAGATGGGCAATATCTGTAAATACGATGTCCTGCCTAGGTGCTGCGTGTCTTTGGGCAGGGGTTTGTGAGGCCCAAAGGGAGAGTCGGGGCTGAGCCTTGCCCTCGCTTCTGGCTCCTTTCCGAACGGTGAAGGGGCACTGCAGGCCAGGGCTTTAAGGTCAGTGACAAATGATTTGTGGTTCAACCTGTGTGCTGTTTAAGAGAGCAGGTTCCAAGTTAATCATTCATCCACACAGCTTGTTAGGTGCTTGGACTAAATTGTAAGTCCATAGGTACTAATTCACTAGGGCTATGACTGACCAGGGTAACATTTCTGTTTTGGATTAGACCAGCTTCACAACTTGACTCATGTAACACAAGCTTCACCAGTTTGACTTTTCCTCCCTTATCTGTATCCAAAGCAGAGCTCTGCAGGCAGGATGATAAATAGAAAATAACACTGCAGAAGCTTTCACCATCAATAACGGTGTCAGCCAGCATTCCTCCTCCTCACCCAAACTCCACAGGCAGCCTTATGCCACTAATCCTGCCACTTCAGTCCTGGTGTTAGCGAGAGCCCGGAGATACTCGCGAGGTGTTTCCAGGGAATCCCAGGACAGTCTGACCATTGCATCTCCCCGGAGCAAGGAGAGCTGAGACAGAGTCAAACCCTGGGTTAGAGGGGCCGGCTCCTCTGTTCACATCGTACTACTGCAAACGCGTGTGCATGGAGCTTCCGTACGCACGTGGCAGTGGACAGGCCCTTCCTTTTCATTTTCCTAAGCCAGATGTGTCGCCAACAGCAATTGAGGTGAGAAGGGCTGTGCGTTTCCGCTGCCCCCGGTACCCTGTGGCAGCAATGAAGGGCCCAGCACTAAAGACAACTGCTGTTGTGCGAGGTGACCACGTGGCTCGGTGTTAGCAGCGAGTGGGCCACAGCCTTGCCAGTGTTCTTGCCCCTTCCTTAGCACAGGTCAGGCTTTGTCATGGGAAAACAAACTGTAGATCTATGGCTTTCAAACAATCAAGCACAATAGAGACTTGGGTTTTTTAAACTACCAAACTCATCTTGGACATTACATGAGGTAGGGACCTGATCTTGGGATAAAACTCTTTAAAAAACAATCTTACTTTCAATATAATAGTTGCATGAGAATGCATATTATGCCAGAATTCATGATTTCTGATAGCATGTGTAATCCAGGGAGTACAACAAAGCAGGAAGGGCTGATAATGAGAGCATCCTGTGCAGGAGGAGACTAGCGCTGCGCACTGAAGCTCTGCTTAGTTAGCTGCAGCCTCGCGGGAGCTCTCTGGGGAATATATTCACATCTGATTTCCCTGCTTTCCACCGCCTTTGCTGCACGCTGTGCAGCCATTAGCCTGCTGCTCAACAGCTTACAAAAGAGACACCATCAAACCTCCAAGTCAGCGCAGCTCCAGCCTTAGGGGTAAACAGAAAACTTGATGTCACAGGATCGCTCTGCGTGAGATGCTCTCTTCAATATGAAGCCAAGTTTTAGTTTTCATATCTGGCCTAATCAAACCTCAGTGCACATTTCATATCAGCAGTGTATTCAGGCATTGTAAATCCTTTGCCGGGGCCTGGCTAAACACACTACAACTATGGCCAACTCCTGGATTTTCTTCTTTCTAAATCTATTTTTAAAAAAATCTAGCCATGGTAACATGCTGTAGGGTCTGCAGGTGGGGATGGAATGGGTTACATCATTACAAATCCAATATAGAGAGGCAGAGTGGCAGCTGACATGGGTAAAATCTTAGCGGTGCTTATACAGCTCAATAGCATCGTGCTTATAAAAACCGTATGTTTGACATAAACATTTGACACATGTTTTACTATCAAAACTGCAACATTAAACTCCAGAAAACAAAATCCAGGCTTTTGCATATAGTTATTGCTAAAGGAGGGCTCAGCAGTGCCGACTCCGGGTGGCAGCCGCTTGTGCCTGGCGGGGGACCTCGCGCTGCGCCGCCCTGCGTGACCCCGCACGGCAGCGGCGGCCCCTGGTCGGGGCGTCCGGGGCTCCCGTGACAGTCGGAAGTTCTGCCTAGCCAGGGGAGCTGCAATGCGAGCGCCTCCGTGTGCCTCCCGGCACGTACGGTTCTGCGATGGGACTGCGCAACTCGCGTCCACGGAAAGCGGACCGGGAGCGCGTGTAAGCGCAGGGAGCGCCGCCGCTGCGGCCCGCTGCCCCCTGCAGCGAGCCCGAGCCCTTCCCGGCACCTGCAGCTTTCTGCGCACCGAGGGCACCCTGGGGACTGCTGACCTCGAGGCAGCACCCCAGGGCCACCAGCCCCAGCCTCACGCACCAGCTCAGGGTGTTTGTGGGCACCCTGCGTCCCAGCTCGGCTCACGAGGAACGCGCAGGAGCCGCAGCGCTCGGTACAGGGCCTCTGCAGAGCTTCCTACACCATTATTCCTGCACAAAAGAAATGCAGATCCAGATTTTTAGTCACATACACATGTGGCCTTCCTTGCCTCATTTTTCTGTCTACTGTGTAGCATTAGGCTCGGATCAGACATGTAGGGAGCTTCGGCTCTACCTCCTGGTAGAGGTCTGGTCTCCTCTCCGCCTTTCCTCGGGGTAGCTAATGACAAGGACTTTTTGCCCCAACAGTCTCTTTTATCAGGGAGATGTATATAGGCCTCTACACACACAAAGATATATAGGACTCTCCTTTTGTGTGAGAAGGTTTACAAGCGACTATCAAATCCTCAAGATTTGTGTGTTTTCCATGAGGAATCCTGTTTTATTGTGCATTGGAGACAGAGACAGTCCAACCCTGAAGAAGGTCGAAGAGATAATATTCTACATGAGCTAACACGGAGTTTGACACTGAATATAGATGCATAATGAGAGCTGAGAACATCACACACCCCCCTACCTGAATCTCCCCTATCCCGTGCCCTACTCCCACACCGCTGTGTGTTTGCTAGGGAAGGGGCACTCTAGGCCTCACTCCCCTCTTGTCACCGGTAGTGGCTCTGCCCCCTGACCTGCCCCTGCCATGTGGGAACAAAGGCACCTCCAGTTGCAAAATACCCTGGTAATCAAATCTGCTTCCTTCACATTTGTATTAAAGGATTGTGAAGATAAAAGCTTTCCAATTTTTTGTTCATTGCTTTTTATTACACTTGGGACATTATAATTTTATTGAATTTACTTTGTTACTGTAGCGATCGCTGATCGGAGTATTTTTATGTGGCAGTGGCGTTTTGCCCTGGGTAGCAGAACAGCCATCCATTTACTCTGAAGCTCTAATTTTAGTCAGGGACTTTAGTTATGCTTTACTGCATAGCATTTGCTCTTCATTCAGAAATGACAGCAAGGAAAGTGTTCATCAGCAGAGATAAGAAACAAGCTTATTAGAATAATCATTTATATGAAAAAGTATATTTTTTGGAACTGTAGCGCCTTTCAAATCTATTACTGCTGCTTCAGTATGAAATTATCACCCCTTTTTGGGGGGCTAGAGCAGTCTATAAAGGTGGAACACATGCAGGAAAGCAGGAAGTCTAGAACAGCCCACTGACAATAAAGCACTGGCTGCACTGAAGCCACGTTCACCACACAGATAAAGGCGCCTGCACCTACAGGACGTACATGTTTGTGCAACACAAATGCAGTATTTGGACCATAAGGACAAACCATTTTTCTGGAGCTGCAGTGAAGAGAGACTAAGAGTGTTAACAGTATCAGAGCCCTGTCCTGGGCTCTGCGGCCCCCGCGGTACCTGAGAGACTCAGGCACAGATCCACCCCCCTCCCTGCTCCAGCGAGGTTTCTCTGTGGGGCACAGACAGATTGGGAAAGCGCAGAGCTTTTTATCATCAGTTTTCTCACAAACAACATCAAAGCATCAGCGACTCCCGTCAAACAAAAGGGGGAAAAAGGAGCCAGGCTCTGTTCAGAGCATTGTGAGGCAGAGACAGGAGCGCCCTGAATAGCGGGGCCAGAGGCCGTGCACTCTGCTCTGCCCACATAAATACACAGTCAGGTAGTCAGCGAGGACGACAGCAGCTATTCAGATTTAAGGGAGATGTCTTCGGGGGAGATAAAGAAGCTCACGACTTACATACGCCTGAGATTGCCCTGCTCACCTCTACCTTGGTGCTTCATTGAGCTGCTCCATTTTAATGCTAGTTTCAGTGCTATTCAAGATTTTCTTGAGTATGAAGAAAGAGCTTCAGACATATAATAGAACATACAGAGGGAATTTGCATCATTCCATCCAAGAGTCTAGGAGGAATTTGGGAAGAACAGAAACATTTATGTTTACTCCAGCAAGTACTTGACATTTTCTAGACTTACTGTGGCAAGACAGTAAAAGTGCTTCTTTATCGCATTGCTCGACATGCTCAGAAGGAAATACGGTTCCTTGGGCCCCAGCTCCAAGTGCCCTTATATGCCTGTCTTCCTGCAGAGGATAATGTGTAGCCTCGTAATGACATTCATCTGTGGAGCAATGCCCCGTAGCAGCGCGGCTGCAGAGGCGCCGCTGGCCCTGCGGGGACAGGGCAGGGCCGGAGCCTCCGCAAAGCGCAGGGAAAGGGGCGGCAGCCGCGGCTACGCTCCCTGCTCCCCTCCTCCCTCTGCAAAAGGGTGCTTTGAAGCACAGCTGTGTACAGGCGCACAGCGGTTTGCGCCAAAAGCTTCAATACCAGTTACACTTTGACAGGCAGGAGATCATCCTTTAATATTCCTTTGCAGAGAGGGAAAAGCCCTCCTTTAAGAACCACGTTTACGGTGTCATGCTGCAGTACAGCCCCTCCAGGTACTTCTGCCTCTCCCTGCATTCCCTCAGTAACAGCGCTGGCTAAGGAAGAACTGTGCAAGACATTCAGGTCACTGCTCTGGGAGTGTGCTCCTGTCCAGAACGAACTGTATGGGATACCTTAGACCTTCCTCTGGCAAAAGTGGCTGGATGTAACCAAAACAATGACATTTTTGTTCAAATGTT